TTTTTTTTTTTTTTTGCTTTTGGATGCTGCAATGTAGTCACTCAGGACACGACTCTGGGGGCACCATTCACATTCAGTCTTTGTACTTGCATATTTTACAATTTTCCAACAAACACCAGTAGAGTGTTTTGAGAAAGGGGTACAAGCAGTAAGGCTGTCTTAACACCTGAGAGCAGGTTACGGTACTTGGGACTCATAGCCAGTATTGGCACCAAAAGGACCTATGCCCAGTTAGGGTGTTTGAAGCCAGCCATTTTCACCCATGCATTTTTCCTGTTAATCCTGTTACCAAACGCCACCACCACCACCAAAAGTCAGGCTTGTCTTCAATATCCCTCTATTGGTAATGTTCTTTCTTAAGCAAAATGGTAGTATCAGAGGTGTTCATTTTATTATGCTTTGTAATTTATGTACATGTTACATATATTCATATATAATGCCCTGATACGCATAAAAATACAAGTAATAATGTCACTATCATGGGACAATAATGTGACAGACACTGGCTGGGCCTAATACCCAATTCTCTTCTTCCTCAGTGACAGAATTCACAATGTTAACTTGGCCGATGACAGTTCCTTAATAAGTAATAAAAAAGACTTATTTCCCATCACCCTTTGTAGGTAGTGGGTCCAAGTGACAGTTGGAATGGGAGCCTATGTGGTCTGCAGAACTTCTAGAAAGTGTCCTTAAAGGAAGAGGTATGCTGCTTTTCCAGCTGGCTGAGATGCTGCTATTAACTTTGTCTTCAATCACAACAGGATAGCCACATGTCAAAAGTAGGGAGCAGCAAAATTGAAGGAACATAGATCCTTGACCCTACAGTGTCATGCTAGTCCCCTGAACTGCCTTCCCAGATTTTTACACACAAGAGAAATAAACATCTGTCTTGTTTTAGTCACTATTGTTTGGAAACACAGCCAAACCTAATCCTAATACATGACCCTGAAATTGAGCCTAACTTCCTTAATCTGAAAGGTTAACTTTATATACAAGTGATGTATTGCATCAAGTGGCTGCTACATGTACTGCTAAGATGGCATAAGATGGGAGATGTTTCCCAAAGAGACATGGGCAATGTGTGTCACAGACATTTTAAGAGGTACTTAACTGCAAAATGACTGGCAAAGTTTCTTCCCGTAAGAGAATTGTAATGAGCAATTTAAACAAAACAAATAGGGTTTGTTTTATTTACAATATTCAAAGCATCTTACAAATAACATATTTGCATTCCCTAAAGTCTTCTGGAAAGTAATTCCAGTTTGTGCAATGAATTTACAAGAAAATCTGAAGACATCTATCAGACATCTTAAACCTCAATTCTAAGTTTTGAAAGATACTTCATACTATAAGAGGATTTTTTTTTAAATTAAGAAAAATCTAAGCTCTGTAGTTAAATATTGCCCTGCATTATCTTTAATCCAAATACAAACCTGATTAGCCTATGAATTACCACCATTAGGTTCAGATGAATTATTTCCACCACCCCACATAAAATGCATGCATAAAGAAAACATGGTAAATTACATTAACGGCATTTCACTTCAATACCTTTTTTTGGACTCTCTCAACTGCTGTTTTGTTCAATCCAGGGTATGTGTTGGTATGATTCCAGTCTAGGGAAGCCCTGAGCCACTATTTCCTGCTCCAGAATAGGGGTGGATTTTCAGTATGTGGCTTACTGGCCAGAATTAGGGAGACTTCTGAGTGGTTTCTCTAGGAAACCTAGGCATGACAGAGCCTGAAGGAGTCAGTTATCTTCCTGCCAACAGTTCAGGAAGCATCTAGCCAGCCAACAATAGCTCCCTCCTCCACATGCCCGGAGGGCACTACAATTAAGGTAGCTGTGTCAACCTCTATTTGAGTGCCCTTTGAGTTGATGATGAAGACCAGTTTCTTTGTTCAGATGCCTGAAGAAATTTCAATGCTGCACAAAGAGCTCCTGGAATGGGTGAAGAGTGTTGGACAGTGACACGTCATTGTGTAAAAGATTCACACCTCATCAATATGAAAGAGAATGAATACATTAACTTTGTCACTCGCATAGCTGCCATCTCTTAAAACATAAAATCTACTCCTTAGCTCTTGAGCCAGACAGGAAGGACAGAAGGATCTCTATCTGGATCTATCCCAACTTGACAATGTGTTCTCCACGTCCACAATACTTTTCAAAAGGTGGTGTTTCTACCACCTGGTGTCACTGTTGAATGGGGAGATACTAGGCTGGTGAAATGAAGTCCAACATTTGACAAAGCCAACAGAATTCTAGATAAAGAAACATGAGGTAGAGTTGAGAGAGTTCAATTAAATTTTTTGAGCATAGGCCTTTTGGCACATTCCAAAATACAGACTCCTTATATCAAACGCTCCATTGTAGTACCTTTACAAAGCGCTGGCAACTTAGGAATTCTTGGGTCTATTTAACAAACACCTTTGTAAAGCTACTAGAATAAAGTCATTTGAAGAAATCCATTCTTGGCACTTTAGCTGTCATCTATCCCCATACTGAAGCAAATAAAAACAATGCTATCCATTTGCTGAATTTATTTAAACAAATCAACTTAGAAGTATCATTGAATTAAACAAAACTTCTGACATGTAAACATACTGTCATGTTCCTGAAACAGATGTTAACACCTGTATAAAAGTTAATAATCGCTTTTTAGGAAAGCTATCAATAAGGCCAGTCTTCAGCAAAACTAAAACCATTTTGTTTCTTTAGCTTTCCTGCTTGACAATGCAATACTATTAAACCACAATCAAATATAATAAAGACAACATTGGATGGATATATCAGTACCATTGGTTACAGCTGTTAAAACAGTTTCATTCTTGGCACCACATAAAAACAATTAAGCCAATCACATCAAATAAATCATGGCTTTTTTTTTTTTTTAATCACAATTCACTAAGTGATGTTAATTATGGTCCTTGTCAAACACGTTTGGTAAAGGCTATATACAGTGTACATGGCTGAGCATGCACTATTTATAGTTACAAAGATACCTGCCAGTTTATTACGATAGAATTAACACAGTGCCTGAAAATGGTGAAACATTTCACACGTCACTGTAATCAATACAGCTTCAAGCAGGAAATGTTCCTTATTTGACCATGATTGCAATAATTACAGGAAAATTCTTATAAAAACACTAATCCCCTTCAGGAAATTGATGCATATTCTACACACTACAGGTTAAGGCAGTAAAAAAATGTATTCCTGATAACTGGAGGTCTTGACAATGTCAATTAAAGCTGTCTGATGCTAGTTTTTCATTCTTCATCAAATCCTCAAAGTTTTCTGTATGACTAGTTTGTGAATGATTTTACTTTTAAAGTCAAAATAGCATTAGTAACTAAAGAGTTGATGGTGGAAAAAGTAATAGCCAGGGAAAGAAAATACGTAAGTTGGATTTTGCCTATAAGTTTTCTAATCATAACAAGAGCATTAATTGTGAGTTTGAAACATAAGGTATAAAACAAATACATATCGTTTAATTTTAATTTAAAATATACTGTAATTTGAACACTTCAAGTAATGTAAGACTATCAAAAATAACTTCATAAGCCATACAAGTGTCAATGTTTTAAGAACTTTTTAAGAAAACTGTAAACTAAACCATGACAGTTTAGTTAAATTATAAGTGACTTTTTATTTGCACTTGTGATTCCTTTAATACAAATCGCTACCAACAAATATGTAAAGATATGGCAGATTATGCATTTGATCAAAGCACTTTGATTTAAGCATAAAACAGATTCAAATGGTATTAAGTTCCGTGCATAAGATCCAAAAAGTACCTACTAATTTGTAGGCAACCCTCTCTCTAATCAGAACCCTTTACTCCTCGGCTGCAGATGAGATAGGGCGCAATCTGTTGTAAACAGGGCACTGTTGTAAAACCAGGATAATATTCTTAAATTAAGATAATTCTCGTCAAATTGAAAAGACTTTCCCAAGTGTCTTCCAGCATTGTAATATGTTCTGCTGACCTCTTAGTTTCATAAATTAACTTTCCTTTGATTCCATTTTTTACGGTGGCTGTGTTCACAGTTTTGTTCTAAAAATTGGTTGAAATTTATATAAAACTCTGTACATGTTCACAAATTATTGCATAAACAGCATAATCTTCAAGACAGTGTTTGCTAACACATGTCCAATTCAGGAAAATTATTCACGTTTCTCGTCTGGCTTTTTTCTTCTTTTTTATTTGTTTGGGAGATTCCCAGCTAGTTTCAGACTTTGCTAGAGAAAGACAGAAAATAGAAAAAAAAAGTTAGGAGGATACTATTACCAATCACATTTCCTCGATAGGAAAGTAATCACAATGAAAAAAATGCTTTAAAGTCTAATAGCAATCTCAAATCCTACGTTTATGTTTTCTATTTCTACCTGTACATTTTTAAGTTGTTCGATGTCTGCTTTCCTCCCTTCAATCCCAACATATTAACTATGGAACTGCTGATATTCAATCTGTTCTGACCTAGGAAAACCACCATTTAATATGGCTCAACCTAACTAATAAGTGATAATGGGTCAAAGGGACAATAAAGATAGCTGAAGGGGAGAAGGGCAGAGAACAATTTGTAATCTCAAGAACAAGTGCACAGAAAAAGAAATAGGGAGAGGGACTAGACAGACAGCAGACCAAGTATTACGTCCTCTTCTTTGAGTTATTTCATCTCTACATCTGAGTTCACGAGATTCCAAAGACTCTAGTCTTTGCAAAGGAAGGTAAAGCTGACATATTAATGCACTGTTGTTGTTAGGTGCTACCGAGTCGGTTTTGATTCAGTGTCCCCATGTACAACAGAACGAAATGCTGTCTAGTCCTATCCTAGTCTCACAATCATTGCTATACTGCAGCCACTTTGTCAGTCCATCTCATTGAGGGTCTTCCTCTTTTTCGCTGATCCTCTACTTTACCAAACGTGATGTCCTTCTCCAGGGACTGAGCCCTCCTGACAACATGACCAAAGTACAAGAGATGGAGTCTGGCCATTCGTAGATTTTTAAACTCAAAAACTTTAACACTTATGTAAGAAAAAGTAAACAGTACAGAAAACACACAAAAGAACCAAAAACGAGGATTACTCACTCTGTAAAGGAGGCACACTATTTTGCTTAATATTAGGCTTGGATTTATCTGTATCTTGTAGCATTGGTGGCAGTTGGGAAGAGCTCTTGTCAGAATCACTTTTTGATAAAACTATAGATGGCTCGTTAGAAACAGCAGGCGGAAGAGTCTTGATAGGCTATTTTGGAATAAAACTACCTCAGAATTTTTTTTTAAGAAGCATTCAAGTAAGATAAACATTTTAGTCATATCAAGAGGCTTTTTAACAGCAAGTAAACACTAAGATGATGTCTAAGTAATTTGTCAACAGAAACACCACAATTCCTGGCTGCCCTAGTGACACACTAAATAAACCTTTAATTACAATACCCATGAATACAGGCTGAGATAATAAGGGGTACAATGCAAAATTAGAAAACGCATACTGCATCTCAAATAAGAGTGATAATTCTTTTCATTTTCATTAACTTTTTCTTTTTCATTATAAATAGCATGAGTTTATATTTGTTAGTGATTCAATGTTGTTGTCAGGTGCCACTGAGTAGATTTTGAGTCAGAGCAACCCCATGTGACAGAACAGAGCTGCCCCGTGGGGCTTTCTAGGCTGTAATCTTTGTGGGAGCACAGCACTACATCTTTTTCCTGTGGAGCCACTGGGTGGGTTAGAAGCAGAGTGCTTAACTGTTGCATCACCAGGGATCCTTAGCTTCTTAGTGATTCAATAGTTAAGTCCATTGCTAACCAACTCTCAACTTCTCAAACTTTTTTTTTCATGAAAGACAAAGAGAAAATAGTTAATTTCTGAACTAGCAGTAGGTAATACTAGTACCTTTTCTCCCCAAAGAGGCAGAGGTGGGTACTGAGGGTATCATCTCAAATAGTAACAGCAAAAGCTTCAGATTATGACCAAGACAGAAAGATGGCCCTATACCAAAGCAGACGGTAGCTACTTGTCTTCATGATTAAAACAACTAGTAAATTTCAGGTCCAAACTCTAGAGTTTCATCCAGTCTAGTAGTGAAATGAGAATGCTTCGGGTCTACTTAGGCTTATATTTCCCCCACAATTTGGGAGCAGGAAGGAGATGAACGAACTGAATTGCCTGAGACATGACTGTTAATGAATGGTCAGGACCAGGTAATGACAGCAGCTCTGCCGGGGCTCTAACAGCTGAGCAGGAGATCATCTTACCCTGTATCTTTTTTTTTAACCTGTGATCATTATTCTGAACATATAAACAAGACTAATGTTTCTCTTGCTCCTTGTTTTTCCAGGCTCCCCAGCACCTCCAATAGTGTGTAACAATAGTAGGTTCTCAATAAAATTTTTTTAATGAATAAATAAATGAACCATGTGCAACTCAAGGAGAATTGAATATATTTCAATATGGTATAATTTACCCAATTAGAAATCAGATATTGAAGAGCCATGGTCTTTGTCATTGGTCTAGATCTTTTGTAAAATGGTTCCTTCTGATACATCAGTATTTTCCATAGAAGGCACATAATTTGAGAACCTGTCAAGAGGTTGAACCATAGTTATATAATATGTATGCTCTGGGGAAAATGCAACCAATCACATTTTCTCTAAGCCACCTAGTCTTTGCAGGCCTAGATTTTTAACAGCAGAAAATACAGTCCTAGTGGCTCTGATTTTGCAATTGATAGTAATGTGACTTTGGGCAAGTTATTTAACTTCTCTAGCTTCATTTATGGGAGCTCTGGTAGCATAGTGCCTAAGGCACTTGACTGCTAACCAGAAGGCTGGCAGTTCAAACCCACCAGCCACTCCTCGGAAAGAAGATGGGGCAATCTACTTCCGTAGTGATACTGCCTCGGAAACCCAAGGAGGGGTCGCTATGAGTCGGGTCCGACTCGATGGCACATAACAACAACAACAACAGGTTCATTTATATAACAGGTGCTACGTCTTTCTCTTTGGGTTGCCACGAGGATTAAATTAGTGTATTTAAAATGCTATTAATAAGTACAGTGCTTAAATATTAGTTATGATGTAATTCTCAAGTTGTCAAAACTTTCTTCCTAAAATATAAAATAATTACCTGGCTATTTTTGACAAGTACTTCAGCTGATTCACTAGTGCTTACGGTCTTCAAAGAAAAAGCTCTTTCCTGTTTGGGACGGACTTTAGAGGTAATAACTGGAAGCTCTTCTCTAACCTCTTTTTCTAATTCTTCTGTGTCCTACAGAGAAAAACAGTCTATTAGATGATATAAATCATTCATTTATTACTAACTTAAATCTATCTAGCATGTTGTACTAATGTCTAGAAGTTATCCCAAGAAAATAATTTTATTTCAGAAACTGTCCTAACAGGTAAAAACAAAGGATATAAGAATAGTTACTTGAAGATATATAATACATACGTACATTTGTACATACATTCATAGCGCTGTTTTCTCAAGGTTTTAAAATTGTGAATTAAAAAACAACATCCCACTCTTCTAAACAGAAACCATTCTAACTTACTAAACCAACAAAAACAGAGTAAATTAAACTCGTATATCTTCTATTTTGAAAAAAAAGTACAGAGTAAACTAGTGGATTCTTGAATTAAGACTTTAGAATAGCAATTTGCTTAGTAACTTCTTCAACAAAGTGAGATGCTTATATGTAAGTGAATTTACTAGATAAATCAGCTTATATAGTAGATAGGGTATGAGCAGCTACTTAGACTGTGCATGGCCAAAACTGGAATTTTGGCCCTGCCAGTCTAGCTATATAATCTTAGGGATAAATCACTTCATTTCTTCAAGCCTTAGCTTTCTCAAGTGTTAAATAAGATTTGCTCAGATTGTTTTTAAGATTCCATCCAAAGTATAACATTCCTATTCTTATTCTTTTAAAATTTTAAAAATGTTAACACAATTATAAAGCACTTTACATGTGTAGGTATATGAAGTAAGTATACACTAGAATACAGAAACAGGATCACCACTGTGAACTATATTGCTCTTTAGCAAACACACAAATATATAAATGGTTATTGCTCTTTTTAACAACTAGTTAAGATGATTTTTTGTTTCCTCCCAACAGTGATAATCTTTGAAAACTGTATGGGATGGTACCGTATTTTTAATGCAAATAACGTGTACCTTCTGTATTTGCCAACTGTGCCCCCACCCTGAGGTATTTTCGTGAGTGTACTATGCTAATTTTTTTTTTTTTTAAAATACAGCAACCTGGAAAAACAAATCGGCATAGCAGCACTTATGAAAATACCTTGTGCAGGAGGGTACAGTTGGCAAACAAACGGAGAAGGTACATGTTATCTGTGTAACAATACGGTTACGGCTTTAGATAGTAATTCAAAATTTTGCTGTGAATTTTTTTTTAAGATAAGCAAGTATTTCCAAGGGAATGCTATATAAGGTTTGCAATCTGCACAGAGTTAATCTGAAGATAGTTTATTTCCATCCTAAAGAAGCCCACCAGCCATATATCAACAACTAAACAGAACTTTACTGGGAAAAAAAAACAAACTAAAATATAATAACCTCTTCACTTATGGATATGCACTCTACAGAGACACAGAACTTTACAGATATCTTGTTCAATTTCTGAAGCAATCTATGCAATTAAGTAACTTGTCCAAGGTAAAGAACAGAGAAACAAACAAAAACAACTGGTAAATGGCAGCACTGAAAATAGTATACAAATTGGATGGATTCTAAAGCCTGTGCATTTATTTGCTATGACTGTTTTTAAAGACTGATACATTTTTTAAAGGACTATCTGAATACCAAAGCAATTTTCACATGACCTTTGTCTCTATATTGAAAACTTCAGAATACATCTATCCCACAAGCTTTAAAACTTTTAAAAGGAATTCACTCAATCCACAATCCAGAAGAGCAGTACTAGTAAAGGCTGTAATTTAAGTTTTAGAAACCCAAGAAAAGTTTGGCTAAATGGATTTTTAGGTAGTCTTACTAAATACAAGATCATTGTTAATAACATTTCTCATTAGCGAGCTCTAGCTTACAAGAAAACTTACTTATGACATATTTTTATTTTTCATATCTACGTTGATCTGAGCCACATTAACCAAAATATCTGTCCATTAAGACTACTAAACAAAAAGCATCACTGAAAATATATTGGTATCATCTTCATTTATGAATGGTGGTGTTTCCAACCACAAAGAATTGGATATAATTTCCTTAAGAAGTCATGCACAAGAATTTCTAAACAGAGCAGTAAGTAGGAAAAATTACTATGTAGGCTACCCTCCGGAACTGTTGCTTCTCTACTGACTACATTTAAATGAATGAAAATAATTAGCCATGTGGTTTCACTAAGGAATAAAAACTGTCCTAAGTTTAGTAATGGAGATAGTGCTTTCAGAAATACAAATCCATATGCATGTGTCTAGTAACCTAGCATGTTTAACTGAAATTAAAATATCATCTTTAATTTCATCTCTATTATAATCTAAACTCTTCACATGGGAGACATCAAAGGAAAGAAAAGAATGTAGGAGTGATGAAACAGAAAGCATCTTTTGATGAGGACTCAAAAAAGCAGAAAGGCTATTAAGTGGAATAGCCAGCAAACTCAGAGTCAAGTGAAAAACTCCACTTGTTCTGTGCACCGTTTTTCTAATTGCACCATATACTATCAATTCAGTTACTCAAAGGGAATTTTCTATGTGTGAAATATAGTACACCACTATATAATCAAAACTAAATTTGAGTAATGTGGAACTGCTTTAAAATGTGATTTTTCAAATGATTTTCAAAAGTAAGTTTCAATGCTCATACTGTGACTTTCATCTCAACATTCTTAAATGTCTGCCTCTTATCTGCACACATTTTCAGCAGTAGATGCTGAATGAATAATGTTAGTTGTTTTCCTATTTTTACCTGTACAACAGAGTTATCTTCACCTTGCTTCTTCTTTTTCTTCTTTTTCTTTTTAGACTTCCCAGCTTGAAGAGTGCCCTCTCCTTTTTCTTTATCATCATCTGAAACCTGCTGTTAAAAATATAAAATAGTAAAGGAACCAAATGGTTAAGTTTTATTATTCAGAAAATTATTATGAAATAATTTCACCCATTAGATTCACTGTTTGTACTCAAAATTCTAAATGACAATTAGTAACAAATAATAAAACTGTCTAAAATTACATTTTTATTTTGTTTGTGGGTATGTCACCCTGGGTTGAATGGTCTGCGTGTACATCTTGTTTACTATTGAGCTGAGAGCCAGCCCCTGAGAGTGAGTTTTATTCCAGGCCCAGAACGTATCCCAGAACCATAGTACTGGGGGTCTCACCATACTCTGTTTGACCAGCAATTCTGGTCACTATTGAGTTTTTTTTTAGGAGCTCTGGTAGCATAGTGCCTAAGGCACTTGACTGCTAACCAGAAGGCTGGCGGTTCAAACCCACCAGCCACTCCTCGGAAGGAAGGTTGGGCATTCCTACTTCCGTAGTGATACTGCCTCGGAAACCCAAGGAGGGGTCGCTATGAGTCGGGGCCGACTCGACGGCATATAACAACAACATTGAGTGTTTGGATTTTGTTCCATGTTTTTCCTCCCACTCTATCCAGGATCTCCAGATTTGTTTCTTTCCTAAGTGGTTGGCTTGGTAGCCAGGCACCATCTAGTTCTTCTGGTCTTGAGGGCCATTGTGTCCTAGGACTAATTGCTTCCAAATGCCCCTGTTCTTTTGCACTCTTCTTTGCGTCCAACATTAGGAGACCATTAGCTGCATCTTAGATGGCTGCTTGAAAGCTTTTAAGACCCCAGTCACTACTCACCAATGTAGGATAAGGAATAAAACTTTTATGTATTTTGTTTTGTCAACTGAGTCTAGTGTCCCCCAGTACTATGGTCCTGACTTGGTAGATTCATTGGATCTCTCCTACAAAGTCTGGCTGTCTGAGAGGGATTACTCTATGTCTGTCTTCTGTTGTTTCTGTACGGATTGTGGGTATTTTGTATCACTGGTATCTGAGCAAGATTAGCCTCCCCTGAATCTATCCTTGGTCTAGAATATACTCCTGTTCACTGACCCCCATCTGACGATCTCAGATGTTTATGTGTTTATTGGTAGCCTGGTGTTTGGTAATGCAGTATCGTGGATATACTGGTTGGTATTAGCAGCTGTTATCTATATCTTATGTGCACAATTAAGTGTTCTCCCTTTCCCTAATGTCATCATAGTGGTCACGGATGTTTTCTGTATCATCCCTCCCCTTACCCACGTCAGCGTGTGGCCCCCAACTAGCCCAAAATTAATCCTTCTCTTTCCCTCCCCATCCTGGTAATCTACAAAGTGAATTCCCTTACTCAAGCAAACTCTTCTTTGTCTTTTTACAGTAATGGGCTCACATTGTATTTGTCCTTCTGCGATTGACTTCTTTCACTCAGCATAATGTCCTCCAGGCTCATTCACATTGTGAGATGATTTGTGTATTCTTAATTGTTCTTTAATGTAGCATAGTATTCCACTGTGTGAGTGTACCTTAATTGGGTACATTCTCTCTAAAATTACGTTTTTAAATCTATGCACTCTACATGTAATAGAGTGTACGGGAGCTTCATTCCCCTACTGTCTGTAATAGAGCATTTTCCCCTTCCTTCATCACAAGATCAACTAGAGAGGTGTGCAAACCTTGTTTATAACATATACTGGATAACCCCTGAGACTACGGTCCTCAGTCATTCTCTGACCTGGAATTGAACTCACTCCTGTGGTTTAACTCTTAGCCAAACAATAGACAGGCCTATGGAACATCCACACTAGGGAGATGCCCTTCTTAGAACAATTAACCGTGAGAGATCATAAGGGCAGCATTTGCACAGGGAGAAAGGTAAGGAGGCAGGAATGCATAAACAAGGAGGACGCAGGGAAAGGGGCACCACACGGAAGAAGTGGGTGGGAGGTAAGCTGTTACAGTGCAGAGAATGTAACCAGTGTCACAAAACAAAGTGTGTACAAACTGTTGAATGTAAACTGAATTTGCTTTATAAAATTTCACCCAAATCACAGTAAAATGTTAAAAAAAAATTGGGTAAATAATTCTTTATTGCAGTTTTTAAATGTGGAATTGAACTACTTGCATTGAATTTAAATCTGTCCTGTTATGAGAATGAAACAACAAGCTACAGAGTGAGAGAAAATATTTGCAAATCATATATCCAACAAAGGGCTAGTATTTAGAATATATAAAGAACACACAAGACTCAACAATAAGAAAACAAACAAGCCAATTAGAAAATATGCAAAAGATACAGACATTTCACTAAATATTATATACAGCAGCAAAAACAAACCGATATATGTTCAGCATAATTAAATACTCGGAAAATGCAAACTAAGTGAGTTACCACTATGCACCTGTAAGAATGCTTAAAATGCAAAACAGTGACAACACCAAATGTCTTCAAGGATGCAGAGAAACTGGATCTCTGGATTGTCAGTTGTTGTTGTTGTTATGTGTTATGAGTTGGACCCGACTCATAGTGACCCCTCCATGGGTTTCAACTGCCAGCCTTCTGATTAGCAGTCAAGTGCCTTAGACACTACACTCAGTAGGAATGTAAAATGGTATAGTTACTCTGGAAAACAGTTTGGTAGTTTCTTAAAAAAATAAGTATGCAACTACCACAAAATCCAGCAATTATATTCCTAGACATTTATTCCAGAGAAATGAAGACTTATGCTCACACAAAAAACTGTACACAAATGTACATAGCACATAGCCAAAACCTGGAAACAATTCAGATGTCCTTCAACTGGTGAATCATGGACTACTACTCAGCAGTGAAAAGGAAGGAACTAGTGGCGAACATAACCTGGATGAACAGAGAATTATGTAAGTGAAATAAAACATTCTCAAAGGTTACATACTATGTAAATGATTCTACACATACAACATTCTTGAAATAGAATTCTAGAAATGGAGAACTGGTTTCCTGGGGTTATGGAGGGTATGAAGACAGAGGAAAGGAAGTGTGCCTTTAAAAGGGCAATTTGAGGGATTCTTGTGGTATGCTAATGTCCCGTGTCATGACTGCATCAATGTCAACATCCTAGTTGTGATATTGTACTACAGCTTTTCCAGATGTTCCCACTGGGGGAAACTATTGGGTACAGGGAATCTCACTGTATTATTTCTTGTAACTGCAGGTGAATCTACAATTATCTAAAAATAAAATGCTTAATTAAAAAAAATAATTGATAATGATTTGGGTGAAGGGAAAAGCAATATACCAAAAGCCAGTGATCAGCACAGCACAATAACATTAAGGAAAAGATTTGGAAACAATTAGTCCTAAGATATAATGGACCACAAGGACCTTAGCCTTCACAACCCTAAGACCAGAAGAACTAGATGGTGCCCGACCACCGATGCCAACCACTCAGAAAGGGATCAAAATTGGAGACACTGGATAGAGTGGGAGGAAAAATGTGGAACAAAATTAAAAAAACGACCAGAATTACTTGGATAGAAACTGGTGGAACCCTCAAGACTATGGCCCCAGTTTATCCTTTGGGCCTGGAAATGGACTCACTTCTGTGGATTAGCATGCAGCCCAGAAGCAGAAAGACCTCCAGGCAGAATGCCCACCCCAGGGAGGAGCACCTCTTAGATGAACCAACCATAAGCCATCAGAAGGGCAGCACTCACACAGAGGGGAAGCTGACAGGATGCACAGATAGGAAGGGCACAGGGAGGGGGCAGTCACAGCGGGAGATCTTTTCACGGCGGAGGATTGTAACTGGGGCCAGGAAACCAAATGTGCAGAAATGTCGAGCGTTAAATGAACTTGCTTTATAAATCTGCACCCAAATCACAATAAAAAATTGGGAGGGGGGAAAAAAAAAGAAAAACCCACTAAGGGCAAGGAAGACATGGGGAGATACACAAGAGATACAGACAATAAAGGTAAATACTTTTATATCCACACTACTGCACTATCAGCAATGACAAACATTAATCTATGGGTGGATACATAGGTAGACAGGCAACATGATCAGGTATGGGTAGGCAAAAAGGAATATACCCATGACCACATAAGTTAAGGCACTCGGTGGTACAGTGCCTAAGGCATTTAACTGCTAACCAGAAGGTTGGCAGTTCAAACCCACCAGCTGCTCTGCAGGAGGAAGATGGGGCAACCTACCATAAAGATTTACTGTCTTGGAAACCCAATGAGGGTTGCAATGAGTTGGAATCAACTTAATGGCAGTGGGTTTTGTTTTATATGTAAGTTTGGCGGATGATATTTCTGTATGTGTATTTGTATGTGCTGTAAGAATGTCCATATATATCACAGAGCTAATGGAGCAGAGTTATGGTAACTTCTAAGCCACAGTTCAAACACTGAGGGAGTGAGGTGCAGGGCCGATAGGTTCAGGACCATGATCGCAAAGGGCATCAAGCTCAATTGGCATAACATAGTACACAAAAACATTGTTCTGCATCCTACTTTGGTAAGTGGTGACTGGGGTCTTAAAAGACCAGACTTATTGGTCTGATAGAGACTGATAAAACCCGAGACTATGTTCCCTAGGCACCGTTAGGGCCTAGAATTGAATGTACTCCCGTGGCTTCAGCCATACAATGGACAAATCTATAACATAAGCATTTACACCAGGTAGGTACACTCCTTAGGACAATCAACCATGGGAGATCAAGACAGCATTTGAGCTCTGAGAGCAGGAATGCACAGGAAAGGACACAGGGAAAACGTAACCTCAGGGACGAACTGGGAAGAAAACTGTTATTACATTATGGGGATTACAATCAATGCTATGAAACAAAATGTGTATGAACTGGTGAATGGAAAACCAACTTGCTCTGTAAACTTTCACCCAAATCACTCTCACTCACACACACACACACACGGAATTTAAGAATGTCTTTAAAAATAAAATGTCTTTAAAGTAGAAATAAAAATATCTAGTAAGACTATTAAATTAGTATTCATGTGATACCTCTTCATACACAGTATATAGCTGAACTCACTACAGAAAATGATTTTTGCTTACTCGACACAGATGGACAGCCTAGATCACTAGACTATCCTTACAGAAAGAGATGAGTAACTGCTATTTCTCTGCTCCACACCAAGGTCATTATAAGGATTCTGGAGGTTTCATAACAATGAACAGCTTACAGAAAAAGAAAAACAAGCAAACAAGCCAAGAGATTTCCAGTCCAACCTGGCTGCCAAATAAGAGTTTCACAGGCTTGCTGTAATGCTTAAAACACCATATGAACAGATGCATCCTAAGACAGAACTCAGGTCATAAGGACTCTTATCAATTTGTTTCTCAGCCCATTATAATACACACATAAAAAAAATGTAGCTCCCTATGGCAAAATATTTTTGATGGGTGTGTGTGTGTGTGTGTGTGTGTGTGTCTGAAATCAACTGCACACAATCTTTCAACTAATATAAAAGGGTTGAAGTTATGATCTAGCAATGTTGTGGCTGGGCCACAAGTTTTTCTTTTTTTTGGGGGGGAAAAAAACCAAAATCCACAAATTTAAAAATGCTAAGAAGTATGAAGACTACCAAATGCCTGTGTACTCCTCCAGATTTATTAAACGTTGGACATTTTGACAAATTTATTTTAGATTTTTAAAAATAAAAGATATTATTGGTAAATTTAAGTTCCTTTATACCCCCAATTCCATGTCCATTCTATTTCCCTAGAGTTAACTTACTGTCAGGACTTATGTACAACCATTCAATTTTTCTCTAAATTTATGTGTATACACATAAGTTTTTATATAATTGACACACTTTCTGTGACTCATCTTTGTTGTTTAGCATATTTGAAATTCTAGTCATACTGATATTAATGTAGCTTTAATTTTTAACTTCTGTGTAATATGCCACTGCACAGACATATCAATTTCATTTCTATATTCGCCAGCTGATAAGCATTTAGGTAACAATCCATTTTTGCTTAGAAATGAACAAGATGATTGCTAAATATACTTAGAAAAAGAATTAAAACTCATTTTCCCCTAGACTTTCATATTGCCTGACAACTGTATCTCCACATTTACTCATCCATATCCTACTAAGTATTTCTCTTTCTCTGGTCTCCAAAAATGGGAAGTACTATATCCTGTCCAAGGTCAGCCCATTCACTTATATCAAGGACCCCCCATCCCAACTGCATCTTCTAGGACCTTACCCTATTATTAATTACATCTTTTCTTTCATTTATATTTAACTTTTTAATCAACATGCTTTCCCTTTCTTTCAATCCAAACTTTCTTAAAATTTAATTAAAAAAAAAAAAAAAAATCTTATACCGGTTATTACTCAACTTACTGCAATATAGCTTCTATGCCAAAATTTCTAACAAAGTTGCTTTTGGTAAAATTGTTGTTGTGTGCTGTCAAGTCATTGGTAAAATTACCAGAGAGTAAACCCAAAGATACTTTTCAGTCCTGAAGTTACTAACCCCTCTATTGCTTCTGATGCTGTTGACCATGGCCTCCTTCTTGACACTCTCAACTGCCTCAGTCTCTGTGACCCACAACTCTCCTCCCATAGTCTCATCTATGTTGTTATGTGCCGTTGAGTCGGACCCAACTCATAGCGACCCTATAGGCCTTCTTATTCCTTAAAAATTGAGTTTCCCAGATGTCTATGCTCATTCCACCGCTCTTTTTGACTCTAAAGATTTTTCCTAGGGATTTCACTCAGCCTCCCAGTTTTAACAACCATATGCTAATAACTTCCAAACACAGATTTATTCCCTAAGTTTAACCTGGTATATATATAGTCACCTTCTCTTAGGCCTATCTACAAAACACCTCACATTTAACCTATCTCAAAATGACCAACAATCTTTCCCCCAATTAACTAGCACTTCCTCCTGTCTTCTTTCTGTACATTAATTCTCTTCATTTAAAAAGGCAAATCATAAATCATATGTTCCTGAGTAACCAAGGAATGTAAGAATGTTAATAAGAACTAAGTCTTTTTTAATAAAAATTATGAAGTTTAAAAACTAAAAACACACCCCCCACTCTGTTTACTTACCTTTTGATCATCAGGAAGTGGTTCCTGGGATTTCAGAAGTGAAGCTCTTTCTTCATCTACCCAATTTCCCCACTCTTCCGCTGGCGCATTCCAGTCAGAGCTGGGATCAGCAGAGGACAGACCATCTGTAATTTAACAGAGGGAATTAGGCACCTACCTTTACCACCATAAACTAAAATGCAAAAAATAAAGTTTTTATCTTTGTTGAACTAAAGTGTAATCTAAAAACTACTATTCTTCTTTTTCCCCAAGTACATTTTAAGGACTAGGAAAAAAGACCCAAAAATATGACAGTAAAAACTTTTATCCAACTTCTGCTTGACATATTGTATAGTTAATTAAACTGAATTTCAAAGAAACTCCAGAACATTTATGATTAACCTTTCAATTCCAATCTCCCTGCTTTGTTTGTAATTCTCCTGAATTTTCTCTCTTTTTGCTGCACATCTCTAACTTGGTCTAGAACCTGGTCATTTTTTTTTTTGTCCTGATTATTCTGGTATTTTTCTATTTCATTAATTTTCTCAGCTCTTGAATTTGTCAATCTTTAATTGCAATGTCAAAATTCCGCCCATCAATATACCTACTCTTCCTTGTGAGCTTTTCACCAAGTTATGGCAGAATATATAACCTCTTTTGGTTAATATAAAACCTGTACCTCCTTATATTTTTCAATTTATATAATGCTCTTTTAGTCTATTTCGAAAGTATAAGTCACTTTCAGAGCTCCATTCGTCTTATTCTTAAGAATGAATTATTGTTCCAGATTTTCAAATCTCTTTCTTTCACACTCCAGGAGGAACCGAATTCTATCTTTTTTAGGAAGCTATTACTGGCTTACTCTAAAAGGGAACTCTATAGTTTGGGCTTTACCACAGCTAATTAAGTAGCTCTCCAAATTAATTCTTCCCTCTTCTGCCCCATACCATATACTTCCATTTATATACTCCTGTAATATACTTATAGTGAGGTTTCATTTATAATGGCTTAAGATACTAGGTTTTATTTCCAAATGCTTAACAAGTTGTCCTTAAACTGCTAACTGAAAAACCCAACCGTTCGCTACTAACGTCAAATGACACTTTTATCAAATACTAAATTCCGTTATATACACTTTAGTCTGTTTCTGGAATCTCTATTCTATTCTAATGATCTATTCTTGGGATTGTGCCATAAATAAAATAACTGTTAATACAGTAGCTCTCAGCATTTGTGGGTTCTGCATTTACAGAGTCAACCAAATGACTGAAAATATTTGAAAAAGTGGGAGAAAAAAACAATAATTAAGTGGTCAAAGCATAAAGTGCTATTTATACAACATTTACATTGTATTAGGAATCAGAAGTAATCCAGAGATGATTTAAAATATGTGGGAGGATGTGCATAGGTTATACGAAATACACCATTTAATATAGGAACTTGCACACCCATGGATTCTGGTATCTGTATGTGTGTGTGAGGGGTGGGGCATGTGTCTGGGTGGGATGTCCTGACACCAATCCACCAGGGACACTGAAGGATGACTGTAGGTTTTAGTACCTAGAAGGACAAATCTGTCTGCATTAATTACTCTTATTTTCATCACTAAAAGCGAAAGCAGTATTATTTTTTCCTTAAAGGGGAGGTATTATGATACACCCTCATGACGGCTTTAAAACCCATGTTTTAGAAGAACATATGATGATGTGGAAAAATGCTCATGGCGGTGGGGGGCAGGGTGGCAAAAACTATCTGTACAATATAACACCAAATTTATATGTGACAAAGAAATAAAATAAAGTAACATGTTAATAATAGCTATATCTCCATAATGGTATTACAAGAACTTTATCTATTCAACCCTTATTAGAGGAGCTCTGGTGGCGCTGTGGTTGGTTAAAAGCACCGGGCTGCTAACCAAAAGGTCAGCGGTTCGAACTCCATAGAAGAAAGATAAAGCAGCCTGCTTCCATAAAGACTGTAGTTATACTCTGTCATATAGGGTTTCTATGAGTTGGAATTGACTTGATAGCCATGGGTTTGGGTTTTTTTTGTAACCCTTATTAAGCACTTAATGTAGTAGGACAATTAAAGGCAGATATCAATGTATCTAGTATATTACAGGTAAGTGCTGGATATAAGAAAATGATCCCTCCCCACATGGAGCTCATAGTTTGTAGAAGGATGGAGAAAGGTAAGGACAAAAGACAGACAAAGGTGAGTAAAGAGTGACAGGTTCTGTCATGGGGCTGTGGAAAGAAGAGGGGCTACTCTAGCAGAGGATAGGGAGAAGCTGAAAAGATAAGGAAGGATTTATAGTCCAATGGGGGAAAAAAACACTGAACAAGTGATTACAAGTCTGAAATGTGTTATACACAGGTATCTGGAGACAGTAGTATACAGTGAGATTAAGAGCCTGGGCATTAGGATTAAATAAATCTGCATTTGAATATTGCTCTACTACTTAATAACTATGTGACTTTGGCCAAGTATCTTGATCTTAATGGTCTACATATCAGCCTCACTGGATTACCCCGATGATAATGTGAGATACAGATAAAGCAACTTACAACCATGCAGCAAATGTTCAGTAAATGGTAGCTACTGTTTTTATATATCACTGATAACATTAACATAAGAAAGCTAGTTTCTAAGTCATTCCAAAAAAACCAAACCAAACTCACTGCCGTTGATTTGACTCACATCAACCCCTCCTTGGGTTTCCAAGGAGGTAACTCTATGGAAATAGATTGACTGATCTTCCTTAGGCAAATATAATTAGGATTGATATCTCACAATCCTGATAAATCTCTCAGTCAGGTACAAAAGGGAAATCTTAAGGTAAAGATCATTTGTACAACGTATAAAGTCTAGTAGATGTCTAGAATCAATTTCTCACATGACTCATTAACATTAATAATGTGAGGAGCTCTGGCGAATCAATGAATCAATGAACATTAATAATGTTAGGTGAACCAAATGCCAAAGCTGTCACTGATTTAGACTCAATCTCCTAACAAGAAATCCAGATTTGGAATATTATTTGTCCATAAGTCATGCCTCTAAGGTCCCTTGACAGACAACAAACTATTAAGTAAAAAAATGTTTATTAGGCAAGTGAACAGGGAATAGATACTAACATATAAGCTCTTTTCTTAATAAATATGGTAGAAGGAAGGAGGGATAAAAATCTAGAAAAGTACTTAGTGAAAATGTTTTATTAAAAGCCTAGATGATGATGAAATTTTGGGAAAAACTAGCCTATGATTTAACTTCTATAAGAACGTTAATAGGAGGATAAACCTACTGATTACATAAAGCCTTATGGTGATTGTTTTGTATTATTAATTTCAAGTTTTAATTTTTTTTTATTAACTGGGATCACATAAAACCATTTCAACCCTTTTGTGACTCATGGAACATATATTGCTCACCAACATTTTCAGTCTTTTGGCTTTCTTGGGAAGCTATCCCAGTTGTAGCACGCATTACTGCCTGGTACCTGTACAACTGCATGCATATGAAAAAACAGGCCCCACCCCACCAATCCTACCACCAGAGTCCACTTGGGACATATGTGCCCTACGTTATTGTATCAAAATCCCTATTACTTCAAAAACATTTTTTCCCTTAATTTCAGCGTGTCTTCCATTACTGAAAACACACAGTATCAACAAAAGTTAAAGTTAAAATAATTCAGTCATGAAAGGTCTAAAACAACAGCTCAGTCACCTACACATAACAACTGCTACTCAACAACACATAATCTTTAAGATTGACAGGCCTCATTTGCTAACAAACTTCTCAGACATAGTACCCTTGTACGTGATTAAAATGATAGTTCTTTCATTTTTAAATAGTTTCTTATCACTCAAAATTCTCCCATTAGTCTGCTAATGCCTTTTCAAAGAGCCTTACTGTTTCCTTTTCAATATAGTAAAAAAATTTCTCTAATTTGCTTGTGGAATAATGTTTCAGGTTTAAGCATCTCATTGCTGGCTAGTTTTTATTTTATCTCAGAGTAAGAAAATGGTTATCAGTTATTTCTTGTCAGAACTTAATTCAGTATTAATTTTAATAAGACAAAAACAATTCTGCAACAAAGACTTTCTCCAGTGTTCAGTAAGTACTATTTATTAACATCTCTGAGCAACTATTAATTTTGTCACCAGGGGAGTAACAAATAGGACTTACTGAGTATTTACTATGTATCAGGTACTGTTCTAATTACTTTATACATATTAATTCATTTAATCTTCTGTAGAGGAGCAACTATTATTTTTCCCATTTTATAGATAAGGAAACTGAGTGTAGAAACATCATGAAACTCGCTTAAGAGCAAGGGCAAGAGATCTGGGTTTCAAATTCAAGTAGTCTATTCTCAAAGCTCATGATCTTAACCATTTCACTTTGCTACACTATTCATCACTATTTGCTACATTCTTCATATACTATTCCATTTAATACGATAATTTTATTCAAAATCTTATTTTTCAGAGAGGTTATAATGATGTTTTCCTTTACAGTAAAGATAATGGACAGATAACATCTGCCTTTAAGAAATGTTTAAACCAAAATATTAACTTCCATACTTATATGCATTCTTGCATACAAAATCACAAACTTCAAATTCAGAAGGAATAATTATAGTCACTGACTACCAAAAATAGCCACATTAAAGGTAAGACTGCAGAAAATAAACTTCAGAGAAAATGAGGTTAAAGAGAAGCTTTCCACTAAAAAGACTGCCAATATAGCATTACAAATTTGAGAAAGATGGTGTTCTTGATACATGTTACTTTAAGTACAGAATCTTATGGACATATAAACATATTTTTTCAGTCTCTAATTTTAGCAGCCAATCGTGTTTTTCCTGTCCCAAGCACTCTAGCAGAGATAAGACTGAAAGTGGAGCTATTCTGTACAAGCAGAGAACCTGCAGCCCTGTTCGTTCAGTTTTCCTTGGTCTCAACCCACAACAGCCTAGCTTTCTTCCTTATGATACTATGGATTTATATAATACTTTATATAATTTACAAAGGTATTCAGTGGTCAATTTTTTCAGAAGGGGATGGCCCAGTTTCTCTTCCCAGTCTGTTTTAGTCTGGAAGTTCTGTTGAAACCTGTCCACCATGGGTGACCTTGTTGATATTTAAAATACTGGTGGCATAGCTTTTAGAATCAGAGCAACGTGCAAACCACTGAAGCATGACAAATAGACTGTGAGGATGGGTAGGAGCAGGCAGTGTTTCATTCTGCTGCACAGAGGGTTGCTGTGAGTTGGAAGGGACCTAACAACAGCAACAATGTACAAAAAGCTTTCATGTTCATTCATTATTACCTCATTAAACTCTTACAACCACCTATGGAAGTAAACATAACAGGTTATTAGCTCCATTACAGAGCTGAATCAATATAGATTGTAGGTTAAGTGACAAAGGCCAACACATATGAGGTATTATGTTTTAGAGCCAGGACTAAAACTCAACCAGTACTTCTCCAACTTCCACACTCCTTAATCTTTAGCTAGCAATTCAAAGTTTTTTACAACATGGGCCTAGTACCTTTTTCAACCTCACCTCCCTTAACCTATAAGAATTCTGTTTTGCCCAGACTAATCTATGTATTCAGTCACCAGCTTACCTTCATGATTACAGTCATCACCAAGGCTGTATATACTATGTAGTGGTTAAGAACATGAACCCTGAAGCCAAACTACCAGTATTTGATTATTACCTCTACCACTTAACTAGCTGTATGGCCTGGGATAAATTATATAAAATTTTCTTGCCTCAGCTTCTTTTGGAGAGTGTGGAGAGACAAAAAACAAAAGAAAAGTTATCTTACAGAATTGCTAAGGGCATTAATTAGTTAAATTTATCGGTAGAAACAAAATGTGTTCTTAATTAAAAAAAAAAAAAAGACCAAAATAGAAAATCCTACAAGGTAGCATATTAAGTGCCAAGTGAAACAGCAGAAAAGGATGTGCTATAAAAATTCAGAGAAAAGAGTAAGTTCTGAGGTTTGGGGCTACGGGGAATGAAAATGACTTTTCAAAAAATGAGATAATAAGAGCTTTCTGAACACAAAAACCACAATCTATTTCCTTTATTCTTTTTTTATAACTCTTGTCACCTTTAACCTTCCTATGCTTCTGCTGGAAAATAGGCTAAGAAAGTAGCTAACAGTATGGTAACTTGCACACTTTAAATTTCAAAAAATCAAAGTCATTACTGTACATTCACTGTACTATAATACAACTAGAAGAAACAGAACATTTATTTAAAACAAAAATTAAAAATAATAAATACTACAGAATTACAGGAAAACTGTCTAAATATTGCCTCAAAGATTATGAGAAATGTATTTAGTTTTAATTCTATAGGTATTTAATAATCAGTTTACAAGTAGTATGTTTGGTATTCAATTATATTACTATGACCTAAAGGTGAGAAACGAGGATTAAACTAAACATAAAGCATAAATTCAGGGTGCCAGAAAGAAAATTCTGAAAAATAAAAATAAAAACTGATAATTTTTAAAATGACATACTTAACCCAGACCATTCATCATCGATATAGGGTTGATTACGGCTAACATCCCACTGATAATCAGAAGTGGTATTCTGAGAAACTGGCTCAGCAGTAGACCCTTAAATGAAAAACGAATGCAATAAAATTAAAAATGGAATTTTCTGATGAGGTTTCATAACAACAGTTCTTAACTTTGTACATGGAGACATATTATTTTTTATTTCTCCTAAAAGGAAAAATTCAGACATTAGAATAATAGGCCAAAAGGAAAAGTAGAATTGAGTGTAATTTTGGATTAAGCATGATAATCACTTAGTCTAATTCAGAAATTAATTTTTCTATAGAACCAATCTGTTAGATTTTTGTCTTCTGTAATATATACTTCAAACTAGTTATCCATAAATTTCAAGCAGTCAAGAAAAGTTTATTTTTCTTACTAAGACAAAATAAATCTGTGTTATTAATCATTTTAGTCCTGGATGTTTCAAGATATACCTATATCCTTAGAACCCTAAAGAAGAGAACTAGAAAATATCTATTTTATTTATACTATTTTATCAATAGAGTTAGCCAGAACCTTTACAGAGAAGTTAAAGCAATAGATAAGGGATTATCTAGAGAGGAAAGACAAAGAGAAGCCAAAGCACAAGAGAGTTCTGGAGGTTTAGAGACCAAGTTAAGTTCAGGTATGTTTAAAGAGGGCAGAATACCATTTACACTTTTTTTGGGGGAACTGAGGGAGTGGGTGTGAGACGGGAGTGAGTGAGAGTGGGGATTATATAGCCCTTTGGGAATGTGATGAAAGCTGTGGTGGATCACTGTCTGAAACTTAAACAAAATTTTATAGTTTTGGGCATGTAAGAGTTTATTGATGCTAAATCAAAAACCCTTCATCTATAATCATAAATTCATTTTAGAATACAAAAAAAAAAAGTAAATGTAAACCAATGGTTCTCCATCAGGGATATATATATCCCAGACCTTTTCAATAAGAATTTCCATGTGTATTTGTCATGTGTATCAGAGTTTTCAGGCAACTCTCACATTCACTTTGGATTCAGAGCCACTGGTATAAAGAAATGATTAGGAAAAGATACCTCTAAGTATAAAAGACTTACTTACATACAATCATTTCCTATTATCAGAGTCCTTACTAACTCATATATTTCTACTTGGCACAGATAATCTTACTTACTAGCATCTCACTAATATGATGCTTGATATACACTTAAAATAATTACACATTATATAATTTTAACAAACTGAACTCTATAAAGTCTACATATAATTAGCACATTATGAGAAGCACTACTGTTGGTAGTGCTTACTATCTGAGTATATAAAGGGAATACTATCTGTGTTATACAAAGTCCTCTAATGGGGTAGGCAATTCACTGATACCTCTGGGACTGAAACATGGTCTACGAGATCAAGTCTGGCAAACTAAGACCTATGGCTACCCAATTTTGTATGACCCACCAATATAGCTTCTACTATAACTAATGAAAGATAAATTCATTTAAGTAATTTACAGTTTTCATATTTAAATGGTTAGAGGATAAAGAAGGAAAAATCAAACAAATACCATAAAAAAAGTTTCATCAGAGCAGCCACACTCAGGCTGTTTTCTTGCCACAAGGGCAGCTGACTGATTATAACAGAGACAGTAAGGCCCACAAGCCTAGAATATTTACCATCTGGCCCTTTACAGAAAGTTTGTGGACCTCTGTTCTTGGCTGGTGATCTCAGATAATGGGAACTACAGAATTTTAGTACACTGGGTCCATGAATTCCAAAGTGCAGTAAGCACCAAAAACTAAACAAATGTCTCTCACAGTTACAGAGGAATTGTTAAATACATATAGCTTCTAATATACTTATAAAAATATAAATTCATTGAAGTAATTCTGAATTTATAGTTTATTAGTAATAAGGCATCTTAGTAATAAGGCATCTTGTAAATCAACAAATACTCAAAGTAGAGTTATTATGTGGGAGTCCATGTAACCTGAAAAGGTTAGCTATAAACTATGAATAAGGATGCATGGAAATAATTTATCAATAATTGCAACTATAAGTATGGGCAGAGCACACTAGTAACGGAAGAGTATCAGGACCCTGAAGGGAAGGCCTTCCATGTGCATTTGTCTGTGTGTCAATGCACGTTCAGTTATTTCAGGCCACAGAATCTTCCTATATCCCCTATAGGAAAGAACTAAGCCACTTGTAGATATGAATTTAAGTACCCTCCCCTTCAAAGCCTGTACCACTTTATATTATATACTGTTATTTTTCTTGTAATCAATGGGCCCACACGTAATGCACAGAAATGAAGAAATTAAAATAGCTGTGTGGCATGGTGCACATATGCATATACTGTGTGTGTCTCATGTCATTTCCAGAAGTGAATCTCGACCTCATTCACTTGTTCTGCCCTATTACAGGTAAATCATATCTTTCTGTTCACTTTCTTTTAATCTCCTGCTTACATCTATAAAAAGAGTCTGAAAATGTTACTTCTGAATACAATTGTATAATTAAGGTATAAGCTACAGTCAAAAAGTCATGGATAAAATTTGGTGGTCCCCTGGTAACTGGAAAATAATCAAAACTGTGTGTGTGTCTCTATAATTAAAGTGCATTAGTTCAACAGTTGAATGTGAAAACCTTATCGATCTTAAGTGAAACAATCAGGTATGTTAAGTCTGCTTACTTCATAGTTTAATCATGTCCTCTTATCAGGTGAAGTCAGTGACGTGTTTTTTTCTTTTTAAAAGGGGGGTATAGCACACTTAGAAAAATAATGTGTGTGAGTTTTTTTTTTTTTTTAATGCAGTTGGCAAAAAAAAGTATAATGCAAGCATTGTTTGTGAAAAAATATGGTACCTACTATTTATGCTGAACAGGAGTACTTGATGCTGATTATTTTTCAAATAGCAAGCACTAAAATTAATTTAAACAAATTTTTTGGTTAACTAAATGAAAGACTGTTTTCACATACCAGAAACAGCAGAGTTAAGTGTGAGAGATGCAAAAGAAGCAGAATTCTGTTCAGAGGTATTCATTCCCCTATCCACACTAGACCAAGCAGCTGTCAAAATAAAGAACGTCACTTGGAACCTTTAATTTGCAAAGAAACTTGAAAGATATGTACAGATTTAAAACTATGAACAATAGTTAAAGATAACCTTAAAATTAGCACTATTTAATAGCTACTATTTACTGAATGCCTCTTGTATGCTGGGCTCCTTACACCAACTACTTCTAACCCTGCTAGGGAGTTTCAGAGCAGTTTAGTGACTTAATGATAACTAGAAAACAGATGAGCCAGGATGGAACAAGTCAATTTCCACTGTACCTTATTATCTACTGTAACTGGACCAGGCACTGAACTTGGTACTTGATATTCATTATAACCAATCCTTACAAGTTATATCTGAGGCATACAGGTTAAATAACAAACCCAATGTCCGTAACAAGGTAGTATGTGAAAGACTAGGGATACATATCTAATAGGGCTATCTGAACTAGTGTCCAAGTTCATCCCATGCTACCTTCTCAATCTTTTCAGGAGATTTTGTTCTCGTATCCAAGTATTTTAAGTAACAGTCAAGTCCATATACTTCCACATGAGAACAGTGACACCTATCTTTCTTCTCAGTGGCCTGCTGCAAATCTAATTTTATATACTCCTCTTTCAATTTCAACAAGTGTCCCAATCCATACTGGCATGAACTCTAATCTGCTGTTTAATTTTATCTATAGCAACATAAAGCAAATACTACCTAATTTAAATCGTAATTATGAAAATCTTACACAGATTTTGTAAGTAAATTAGTATTACTCCATAAAAACGTGATGATTTCTTTTACTAAATGCAAAAGGATGCTTTATAGCATAGATACTCTTTTCTGATGAAAATGCTTGGAATTTAGGGAGTACTTCTTCTTCCAAACAAATTTTGATATTGCTAAATAATTTTTGGACATGGTAGAACATAAAGGGGAGAGAAAGCTTAAGAGCAGATTAAAAAATGATCTAGAATTTGCTTCTTGGTGATGTTAGTTAACAGAAGTCTTTCTAAGCTTAAAAGTGAAGTGAAAAGTACAGTTTTATCCACTTAAACCTAAAGCTTTCTAGAGTCAATTGCTCCCCCAAGCTAAAAGAACTAAACTAAGAAAATATATCTGTAACAAATACAACAGAAACAATCATATGTTTAATACGCAAGGAATTATACCTCAATAAGTAAAACAGCAAGAGCCACTAGACAAATGGACAAAGGATAAGAAAAGACGATTCATAAATGAAATAGAAATGATCAAGAAATGTATGTGGGAGAAAAAAGTTAACCAAAATAACTTATGTATTTTTTTCCCTATCAAATTAGAGATTTAAAAATATATGAATACCTGATCTTGGAAAGTGTATGATAAAATGGGTACTTGATGGCACCTAAAAACAACAACTGATGCTGAGAGTGTAAATTAGAATGACTTTTAGCAATTATTTTGGCAATACGGAGGAAGAGCATTACAAACATTTATATTTCCTTAATAGTATCACTCCCAAGAATCTAGCCTGCAGAAATCACCCAAAACCAAAGATGTTCGATGAGTTTAAAAAAAGGGAAAAATTATTTCTTCAACAAATAGTTACGTAAATTATGCTAAGTTTACACAATATATTGTAAGTTACTAAATAAAAAAATATTTACAAAGAGTAAGGAAAATTCTTATTTACAATGTAAAGAGGAAAATGGAACTTGAAAATGTGTATCTATTTGAATTTATGTTTTAAAAAATAAAACAACTCTGTATGGAGGTGGGAAAAAGTATATAGAGAAACATGAAAACTAACAGTTATCTGTAGGTGGTATGCTAACAGTGGTTTCTCTGTTCTCTTGTTGCAGTTTCCCACAGTGAACATAGATTTCTTTTCTATAATTAGCTATAACACACACACACACACACACACACACACAGAGTTGCTTTTAACTTAATGGCTCTGAACAGAAAGAAGGTTTTCAATCACTGGTCTTATCTTTTAAAATCCAGGGAGATTAAGTATAAAAAGGCATTGCAGACTGTAAAATACTACATAAATGTATGCTATAAACTGTCCTTCAATTCACATTTAATTTGATTCATCAGAATTGCTTTTAAGTTACTCAGGAATCTGCCTGCACAATACACTGCTTACAAGTAAGAGTACTCTGTGAAGAATAAATAATGAACAAATGTATTTACTTATTTGGTTCCTTTGTTCCATGTGAAGGATCTAAGATGAGGATTATTTCTGTACAGTTATTACTAACTTTTCTATTTATGTTTTTTTTTTCCCCACTGCTGTCAAATTTTTAATGCACTGGATAAGCAATTTTAAACAAACTTAAAATTTTCTAACAGTTCTTACCAATGCCAGAAAATATTGAACGGTCACTCCAACTCCTTCCCCAGTCTTTTCCATTTGTATTAGCATCTCCAGTGTCTTGACCCCAAGCAGATGGCTCAGTTTTCCTCTTGCCTGCAGAAGCAGGTGAAACAGAGTTCCACTTCTCCTCACCTGCAGTTATCTGTGAGGAGAGTTTCACAGACTTCTCATTCCAGCCTCCTCCATTTATAGTGAGGTTTTCATTCAGTCCTGAAGAAACTTAAAGAAAAAAAAAAAAAAAAAAAACTGGTAAGTGACAGATGGTTAAAACAAAGACATTTTAAAATTCCTGTGACTGCTTGGTTTATATTTATCACTCTCTTTTTTTTTTTTCTATTGTCCTTTAAATAATCCATGCTTTAAAGAGAAAAAAAGCAGAATTCTAAAAGTGACATGATCTCCATGGATGACTTTTAGATAACTTAAAAGGAAGTACAACAGGGCAAGCAGTGAAACAATGTACATTCTGTTATACTTAGAATACTCACCAAGAATAGGAAGACATCTCCTAATGGTTTTTCCTTAAATATTTAAACATATTATGTATCATATTGTTTATAAGTGATTCTCAAACTTAGCTGCACATTAAAATCATCTGAGAAACTTCTTAAAAACAGAGACAGACACTGAAGCCTCAGTCCAGATTAAAATCAGATCTCTAGGGTACAGCCCAGGCATCAGTATGTATGTATGTATATATATGTATACGTGTATATGTACACAAATGCACATAGGTGTGTCTGTATACATGTAAGCATGTGTTTCTTTTTACATGTGTGTGTGTGTTTTGTTTCCATAGAGATACTGCCTCGGAAAACCAAGGAGAGGTTGCTATGAGTTGGGACTGACTTGACAGCAGTGGTTTTGTTGTTGTTGTTTTTAGATAATTGCAATGTGTAGCCAGGACTGGGAACCACAGACATTAAAGAAGCTGAAGGGTCAAAAACAAGTCTGAAGATGAGAAGGTACTTTTTCATTTCTGAATTTATATTGTAGTATAACACTCTTGTTTTCAGGTTAGGTATACCACTGTACTTAATTCAATCTTTATCAGAAATGAGTAAACAAAAGACAGAGTCTCCTTGCAAAGCACTGTATAACTTTAGTCTATATATTATGAAACATTTGATATTTACTTAATGTAGGCAATTTAAAAAGATTATAGGTATTAAGCCCTTTTTCTCGGTATACAGGTGTAAATCTTTCATTCCATATACGCCTGTTTTCAGCCCAAATCCAAGACCATTCTCTACAGGCTTAAAGAATGTCAGCTAGAGTCAAAATTGCATATAAACTATTACTAGAAAAGCAAAAAAACAAAACGAACCCCCAAACAACTAGAGTACACCAAAGACTATTAGAAATGTGGGAGTGATTTTTCTTTTTATCTACTTTCCAAAATCCCTGGACTGTGACTATGTTACTTTAGTAATTAAAAATAATTTTTAAACCCTTTTTTCCCCTTCTGTATCATTTTCTCATTTGAAGAAAGAGAGGAGGTATATAAATTTGTTTTGATGGGCCTTCAATTTAAGTTTCATGTAATTTCTCTCACCCTGAAGTGTAGACTCTCCTTTTCCAGACTTAAAGTTGCTAACTTGAATATTTAGATGAGAATCACCTGGTTGAAATAGAAATAAAATTTATTGAATACTAAATAGGTCACTATGCATACTGAATTAAATTAGGAGTAACATACAAATTAATTTTTACTTATTATCTACAATAAATTGCTCCTTTAAGTGCTAACTATACTTGAAGAGTCAGTTGCCCACAAGATATTCCATATATTCTTAAGGAATTGAATTCTCTAATTATCATCATACTCTTTAGTCAATTAAATAATGTCAATAAAGGGTCTGACGAATGCCCAAGTACATAGAGTCTGCTGTTCTATAGCTGTTACCAAGATTCTTTAAAGTAGGAACCAGAGAACTGTGCTCTGTAATTGGATTCAACTTTGCCACCTCTCAACAATACCAGCTGCCTTTTCAACAATCCTGGAAGCAAACACATCAACTTAAGAACTTTGCCAGTATTTGGGACCAGGACTAAGGAAATATGGCAAGAGGTGAGAAAACATGTTACAACATAAAAATACTATTTTTCTGACATTAAAAAGCATAATGATCATAATGAACCAAAACCAAACAAACCAAAAAAACCCAAACAACAACAAAAACACACATACAAAACCAACCAGCATGATGTGGGACTGGGCTAGCAAGGAAAGCATGCAAGACAATGAAAGAGGATTATCAACAAAAACACTAAAGCACAACTAATACCTAACAGTGAAAATATATTAAGTAGAAGTCATTGCTGTACCACAGCAATAAATTCCACCAAGTCATCAAGCAAAAAAGTAAAAGGTAGCACAGCTAAGAAAGTGGTCTGAAGACAATTAAGGGAGGGGCAATTAATAAAAAGGTCAAGGAAGATAATGCCTTCAAGCAAGTAGAAAAGAATCATTCTGCAGACTGACCTCATCAAAGATAAAAATGATAACAATGTAAAGAGCTCCCAAGAAGCCATGACTATTGGATAGTCAGAGCATTTCCAATACTTTAAAAGGAAGAGCATCAGCTCAATAATCTTTGAAGTTCCAGTCTAGCTTTATCAAACACCTGGGGGCACTCTCAAAAAGGTGGAATGAAAAGGAATACAGACAGGACCTGTACCAACCCAAACATGCTTGTTTTCATCTCAAAATGAAAGCACCCAACATGCAAAATGGTGATAAATAATTTCACTTAAATATCTGATCCACTGTAAGAAATGCAGATGCAACAGAGTTGGGGCAAAGCAATACATACAAGGAAAAGTGCCAACATCATTTTTCTCATGTGACTCAAGGCAAAAGGCAAATTTCACTGTCATAGGCCAGTCATTAGGCAACATGTAACAAATAACAATGCTGGTACTAAGTAAACCAATACATGGTTCACAATACTCTCATGAAGAAGGGTATATCAGCACAATGATATAAGCAGTTCAAAATAGTCAGATTTTGATGTAATGATATTTTGTACATCTGATTAAAAGGAATTTTGATTTGATGTATCATTCTTATGTTCCACTAATATACCTTTATTCTTCTTGGAACCAACAGGAAATGATGCAGTTGTAAGTTGCTCGGTGGTAACTGTGATGGTATTTTCTATCCCAGGGATAGTTGAATCCAATGAACCAGAATCAGTCAGCACCTTATCACGTTTACGCTGCTGTCGTTTCTCTCTGTGACTAATTTTAGTTTCCCAGGCTCCTGACATAGCCCCAGAAAAAAAATGTTATTCAGCAAGGGGAGACAAAAAAAGTTGTAGCTTTGGGAGGAAAATGGGGTGGGGCACACAAAATATCATGACAGGTTTAGATGCTATAGTAAAACCCAAGAGTGCTGATCATATTAATTTATCCTAAAAATTTATTCTACTCTCATTCTTCTTGTTTAGGCAATAAACTGTCATTATTTACTATGGCAAATTTTATCAAATCTATCATCTATGGTTTAGAAAGGTGATAGAAATAAATAATCCTGTATATTTATCTTGCTAGGTAGAAGTAAAAGGAGAATTTACTATAATCACTAATAAATGGGTTTATTAGGTGAAGACAATAAGTGATTGAGGAATTTTATACAAAGCTTTCTAGGGATGGTATACTTAAGAACAATGAGGGGAAAACCCATATCTTATTTCTAGGAAACAAAGATAACTGGCTTTTCAATTACTTAAGATATTGAGCTAGATCTCCAACGTGAAGGTGGTTCCCACTTCAGGAAAAGCACTACCAGATCTTTACGTAATTCAGACAGCAAAAGTGCTTTCTAACAATGTTACAGATCTGTAGTTACTCAAAAGCAGAGCTACAGATACACAAGTAAAACAAATGCAGCTTTTATAAAATACTTAGGTAAAAGAGTATGAAAATTTTTTCTACAGTCCCTTCCCTTGCTCAAGTACCTTCATCAACTTCCTTTCCATCATGGCGTGAACTGTTTTGCACTGCTTTAGCATCTGACTTTGATTTCTTCTTATTTTTCTTTGACTGAAAGCAAAATAGAATGTTACTTAACAATATTTCATTATGTTTTTGAAAAGGTAGGAGTCAGTAAAATACATAATAAAATGTATGATGCTGACAACCAAAATAATTTAGTAAGTCTGATTTAAATAACACATTAAATGGCAATGATGATAATATGAGGTTACCATTTATTGAGTGGTTACTCTGTGCTAAGTACTTTACATTCACTTTTTTATTCCTTATAAAAACCTTGCTGGAAAGTATCTCTCCCATTTTAGAAATGAGCAAACAAAGACTTAGAGATGTTAAGTAGGCTATACTAGGTAGGTCACATTAAGTTAGTAAATGGTAGAAACTAGAATGGTAGTAAATTAGAAACTAGCTTGTCCAGGTTCCAATGTCTGTGCCCTTAGTTACCATGCTATCTTAACTTACATCATAAATAAGGTACTATATATAATACGGTGCTTTCAGAGTAATAAAATGAAAGCCTATTGTATTTAGAAGGAAAATGATGTACTGATTATCAATTTTTTACATTTGCATAAAGCAGACTGCCAGCACACCCTTTGTTTGTGTAACAAATTAATGAGTCAACTGTACAAAGTAGGAAACATTCTGTCAGTTTCACAGCAATGCGAAAATACCTAGGATTTATATGTAATAGTGTTTAATAACTTAATAAAAATAAACCACCTACACATACACACAAGATACACACATTCCACAATGGCTTCCAACTCCCTCTGATAAATTATATTATTTTCTCCTTTCAATAACTCACTAACATTTCATCAAGCTTTCTGTATTTAGACAAGTGTCTCCAAAAGAAAATAATTAGCATTCATAAAGTATTTTTAATTTATACTTTGTATTCATCTATCTAATTATGTGTTGAGATCAGCTATGATATATCCTGTGCATTATAAATTTAAGTTTCCAACTAAAATAAGAGATTGTATCTTAATTATGAGCTTTTTAATAAGATTCTAAATAAATAAATTCTAAATAAGCAATAAATTATAGCTAATTGCCTTTCCTATCAATAAACAGGTTTCAAGTCTTTTCATGTAGCATGACTTCTGTTAAAGGCCATTAAAAATTGTCTCTGACAATGTGATAACATGAAAAAAATATTTTTGAAAGTACTGTCCTCATAATTAATCTGCATGCTTGTTTCTTTCCATGTTCTCATTAACATGTATCATCACGTTTAATATACTGCTGTGTTCATCTACCAAACTAGTCTCATATCCATTCTTCTTTTTAAAATTGAAATATCAATCCACATATCATAATATGTCCCTCTTGAAGTATATATAGTTCACTGTTTTTTCAGCATATTCAAAGTTGTGTAAGTATCATCACTGTCTAATGCCAGAACATTTGCATTATCCCAAAATGAAACACCATACTCATTAGTAGTCACTCCCCATTTGTCTTCACTGGCAACCACAAATCTATTTTCTGTCTCTATTTTATCCACTCTTAAGATAACACATAAAGCACTTACTGTTTATAGTCTAGTGCAGGGGTCAAACAATTTCTATAAAGAACTAGATAGAAAATATTTTAGGCTTTGTGTGCCTTGTGGTCTCTGTTGCAACCACACAACTCTGTCTCTTCAATGTGCAGACAATACATGAATGGAAAAATTAAATGAAATAATACACTTAACCCAATATATCCAGAATACTAGCATTTAAACATTCAGTCAATGTAAAAAGTTATTATGAGATAGTATTTACAAAAAGAATGTAAAGAAGTTTTCAAAATCTGGTGTATATTTTACATTTAACAGCAATCTCAATTCCGAATAGTTACATTTCAAGTGGTCAAAAGTCACATGTGGCAAGTGGTTACCATACTGTAGAACAGGCTGGTCTACAGGAACTAACTAAAGGGGTAATGTGCTGTGGGAAATTAAGAAGTGCTCTGGATTTGGTACTTTAAAATAGTTACCAAATACAAATTTTGTTTGATGAATCATTTTTTGTTTCTATGTCCCTTTCCTCTCTTCAGACTGGCAAGTGAATAAACTTTTTATTCCCAAAAATTTGAGATGGGAGCATATATTTGGTTTGACTGATTAAAAACAAAATTGGGAATAGGAAAATGACCCTAAAAGAGATTTGTGAATGAAGTGACTATTATTACATTAATGAAGTGACTATTATTCCAGTCATAGTAGGGAAAAATCTTTTCTAAAGTCTTACAAAGTCATTACACTAATTTTTCAATGTCACCTTCCAATTATGCAAAAGTTTTTGTGGAAATTCAACTAATAAAATTTAATCTCCCTTTATACCAATCATTTGTCCCTGCAACCAAATTAGACATTTTTATATTCTTTTTGTATTTTTAACAAAAGGATTCATTAAAAAGTCTTTATAGATTTTTAAACTGGTTGTACAGCTATTACATAACTAATTAACTCACTTTCATTTTCAAAACTATCCTATGAGGTAATGCTATTATCTCCAACTTACAAATGAGAAAACAGAGGAATATTAATTGACTAACCTAAGATCACTTGTCTAGTAAGTATGGGAGTTAGGATTTTCATTCTAACTAGTACTCCACATTCTAGGCCTCTAACCACTATACTATTTTTCACTATACTATTTTTCTGTTAGAAACTGCTTTCAAACTTAAACTGTGCAGACACAACAGTTTTTACAAAGAATAAATCATCTTTAATAATAAAATTACAGTGATACAAATTTTTTCAGAATACTCTCTTCACTGTATCAATTTCTTTCAAAAACCTACTACTTTCTGACTCCTTGTTAAACATTAAACAAAAACAACCAAACTCACTGCTGTGGAGTTAGTTCCAACTCACAGAGACTCCTCCTTGGGTTTCTGAGGCAGTAACTCTATGAAGTAGATTGCCTAGTCTTCCTTCTGAGGAATGGCTGGTGGGTTTGAACTGTCAGCCTTCTGGTTAGCAGTCAAATGCCTTAGGGTACTATGCCACCAGAAATGTACCAGTTATCTGTCAGTTTGTTATACTGTGTGGTGGCTTGTGTGTTGCTGTGAGGCTGGAAGCTTTGCCATTAGTATTTCAAATACTACCAGGGTCACCCCATGGAGGACAGGTTTCAGTGGAGCTTCCAGACTAAGACAGACTTGGGAGAAGGCAGGGGCCATCCACTTCTCAAAGAATGGGCCACTGAAAACCTTACGAATAGCAGTGAAACACTATTTGATACATTACTGGAAAACTTTATGAGTAGCCCTGAAACACTGCCTGATATACTGCAGGAAGATGAGCCCCTCAGGTTGGAAAAACTCAAAGCCAAGCTCACTGCCACTGAGTCAATGCCGATTCACAGTGACTACCAGTGGGTTTCTGAGGCTGTAAATCTTTTGAATGCTCCATCTTCCTTCTGTGAAGCAGCTGTGGGTTTGAACCACTGACCTTCTGATTAGCAGCCAAATGCCTTCTTCACTATGCCACCAGAGCCTCAGGTAGGAAGGCACTCAAAATATGACTGGGGAAGAGCTCCTCCTCAAAGTAGACTCGACCTTAATGACGTAGACGGAGCATAGCTTTCGTGACCTCTATTTGCTGATGGGGCATAATTCAAAATAGGAAGAAACAGCTGCAAACATCCATTAATAACAATAATGTGGAACATATGAAGTATGAATTTAGGTAAATTGGAAGTTGTCAAAAATGAAATGGAACACATAAAGATCAATATCCTAGATATTAATGAGCTGAAATGGAGTGGTTTTGGCCATTCTGAATCAGACAAAATGGAGTGGTTTTGGCCATTTCGAATCAGACAAAATGGAGTGGTTTTGGCCATTTCGAATCAGACAATCATACGATACTAAGATGGGTATGATGAATTGAAGGGGAATGGCATGTTCATCATCACAAAGAATGTTTCAAGATCTACCCTGAAGTACAGTGCTGTCAGTGATAAGATAATATCCATACACCTACAAGGAAGACTAGTATTACTATTATACAACTGTACACACCAACCACCAAAGCCAATGATGAAGAAATTGAAGATTTTTACCAAGTTCTGCAGTCTGAAATTTACCAAACATGCAATCAAGATGTACTGATGATTATCAGTGATTGGAATGCAAAAGTTGGAAACAAAGAACAATCACTAGTAGTTGGAAAATATGGCCTTGGTGATAGAAATAGCATTGGAGATCGCATGACAGAATTTTGCATGACCAACTTATTCACTGTAAATACCTTTTTCATATCCTTTGTTTTTATGATAAATGGAGAAAAGACTGACGTTATCAGGGTTTTTATTTTACTCGGGTCCACATTCAAAACCCATGGAAGTAGCAGTCAAGAAATCAGATGTCATACTGCACTAGGCAAATCTACTGCAAAAGACCTCTTTCAAGTTTTGAAGAGTAAAGATGTCACTTGATTTTCAGTAAAAGAAAAATGTGTGGCTCACTTTTTAAAGCTGGGTCAGTTCTATAAAAGTATTTTGCCACAAGATAATAATTAATGCTCATAGTAGATTACCATCTTGTTTTGTTTTCTAATGTGCAATCTGGCTTTATAACCTCTTTTGTCATCATTATTTTCTAGAAATAAGGCAGTAAATGAATTTCATGCATCTCTATAACCTTATATACATCATGATGATGCTGATACAGAATTCTTATTAGGAATAATAGTGTCTACTCTGTCACTTCATTGTGCCTGAATTATCATTTGTAAGCCCCTACTCTATACTGTTCCATATCTTGACACTATTCATTCTTCTAATTTGTCTCAAATATATAAATGGGGCTATGGAGCTCTGGTAGCATAGTGGCTAAGGCACTTGACTGCTAACCAGAAGGCTGGCGGTTCAAACCCACCAGCCACTCCTCGGAAGGAAGATGGGGCAATCTACTTCCGTAGTGATACTGCCTCGGAAACCCAAGGAGGGGTCGGTATGAGTCGGGGCTGACTCGACGGCACATAACAACAACAACAACAATGGTTAAATGGGAAAGGACAGATGGTCCAAGGAACATATTAATTA